ATAAATGAATATTTATGGCACATTCATATTGGTGATTCAACAATGTCATTATTGATGTTCAATGATCATTGCCAAAATGTCTTGAAATTAATAGGAAATCGCGTTGTCTCATTACGTCTAATATTAACCAATACTATTGGTGGATGGTCACTCATTTCATCTTCTCTTCGGTATCATCAGACAACATTACTTCAACGTCTACATCTGATCGATATTCAACCACATGAATTTGATAAATTACTGCGTAATCATTTAATAAAACAATTACATACGTTATTGGTTGATGTGGCACCATCTAATCCGTTCAACTCTATTCAAGTTGAAGGAGTTTATCTAGTTAAAGTAAGAAAACAATTATTTCTTCTATTCACTATGGAATTCGGATTTTTTTTCTGTTAGCAACGACTTTTGAAATAATGATGTACAAAAATCCAATTTTTCTTTATTTAATAAAAGGTGTGTTTACAACTGCCTCTTCTAAGAATTTGTCGACTTCCATTTAATCATGATAATGGGAATGTCAATCAAATAAAAAACTATTCATTAGGGTATCAAATGATTTTATCAAATTTATTGAATGCAAATGATCTTCGTACATTGACTATTGGTATACACACATCACGCTTTCTCGAACGTTTACTATTATGTATACCATTTATTGAGAATCTTTCTGTTGGCATACAAGATCAATATATTAATGAAAATGATGCACATGAGATAATCTCGTAAATAGCATACGGTTATTTATAAAAGTGTTAATTATATGAATCTTTTTAGCATGCCTGCTACAATTGATGCTCATCTTCTTCGATATCTATCTCGTTTATTTATACATTGTGTGAATAGAATAAGTTTTCATCAAACTATTGCGCTTCTATCATCTGTGTTTAGTCAACTTTGTCATTTGTCATTAAAATTAGAAGCATTTACATTAATTTCTGGTCCATTAATTATATCAGGTGATATTATTCAACAATTATGTATTGATCATCTCAAATCAATGGCAACCTATAATCTAAATCTATTACTATATGTTAAGGACGACTTGGAAGAAAAAATAATTTTCAATTCATTTTTGAAAGTTCCATTTACTCATCAACAACGACCGAGAGTAGTTATTCAAGAACGTGATAATTTTGATCTAGGTGATATGTATCATCGTTTTATAGTATATACTTTACCATATAATGACACAATCCTTTCATCATACATGTTTTCTAGAGATCTTGAAAAGTATGTAGAAAATAATTACTTTTATGAAAGATCAATAGGAATCTTTATTCTTTTTCCTATTTAGATCTTGTCAAATATCGGTTAATGCAATAGATTTATTTTCACGTGTTAATGAGTTAGTTCTGAGTGGTTATAAGAAGACCAATCGTCTTTCAGATCTTGGTAATTGTAGAAGTTCTATATCATCATTAGTTCCGTGGTCATTATTAACAAAAATTTCAGTCGATGGTGGTGATGTTATCAGTTCAGTTAGATTAGAGTCAATATTACGTTTGGCTTATAATGTACATACACTACAAATATATGATGATGGAGGAATCTTACCTCGTGCGATATTATTTAATACTGATAATTTTGGAACTCGTGTCTATTATCAAGTAAGAGTTTCTATTTTAAAAGAAACATCTTAATGAAATTATTTTTTTTCTGTAAATTCTCTTTCGATTGATATTTTATTATTGAGCTAAAATATATTTATATTTTTCTGAAATAAATCAGATTTTCTATTAATTAGATAAAATCACTTGACATCTACGATGCAACATGAACATTACAAAATGCTCAACGTTTTTGCACATTATTGGTGAATCGATTATCTAACTTGAAGAAGCTTTCGTTTAATACTTCCCATTCATATTATGAATGGAAATTGAATCTATCTTGTATTGCTGACAGGAAAAACAAATCTACAAAACGTATTGTTAATCTTATTTATTTTCTTGCTGATCATTTGCAACAACTTGTTTCTCTTCATATCAACTTTTCCAATTTGGCTTTCTCTGAGACATCTTGTTTCACACATTTAATCCGACGACAACTTCATCAATATTCACCTAATCGACTTTATCGATTACAATGTTCTTTCAATTTAATTCAAATCTGACTGTAGCAATACATTAATTATGTTAGAAGATCTTGTTATTGTAAATTCTTCATACATATGTATATATATGAATAAAATAAAAACATGTTAAATTGAACTTTTTTTTATTAAAATGTTGTAAAAACTTCAGTGTTTGTTTTGTTGCAAGTGATAAATTGAAAATTTGAAATTAAACTAATTTTTCTTCATTGAATTTTAAGTAAAGTTAAAATTCTACTATAAAGTCTATGTTTAAAGATAATTAGATCCAAAATCAATTTTTCTTTTCCAACCATGTCACTTGGTCTCCCGGTAGTCCCTTTCTTATATTAAAAGATATAATTATGAGTATTTAGAAGTGAGCACGAGTCCACAGTGTCTATAATTTAGATATTAAGAAATCTTAAAATAGGAAGTCTAATATAAAAACCGTTCGTTTTAATTCACATTATCTCTCAGTTGACAATAGTATTCTTTTATGAATTGAGATGCCTTTCAGTTGTTTTAAATATTTATTTCAAATAAGAATAAATCAAACTTATCACTAGTAAATAAATAATATCATTGTTGCACAAAGTCAACTAACCCATAATTTAGATATTATTTAATATTAGTTGCTGTAAGTTACTAGATTAAACATTTTTAAAGAAATCTTTGTTCGTTCTTTATCTTAGTACATGTGAAATGTGAGAGACTGAAATAAAAGCTATTACTATCAGATATTCCAAGAGTAAGACGAATTTTAAATTGTGTACCTTCGTAGAACTCATGTAATGCTATTTCCAAAATGAACTCATTGATTAATAGATATAGTAAGTGCACTGATTTTTTGCCAGTTAAGACAAGAATTTCGACCGACCGGTTCACTTCGGTCAAAAATATTTCCGCCAGTTCCAAGTATTGTCTGCACATTTGCATATCCATAGATTTTCAAATTACAACTCACAGAGAGATGAAACAATGTGTATTTTGCTCCATTATTGTTCTGTTTTTTTTGAAACTCATCCATGAAATATCAGATGAACGAATCGTCTTCCGAACGTAACCAAATACTATTTGTTGTATATTTTCACTTTGAACATTATCTTGATAGATGCATACGAAACCCCCCCCCCCCTTTTCAGTATAATACGAAGTATTTCACAATTGAATACTTTGCGACACGTAGTTCGGAAAAACAGTCTTATCTTCTACTTTGCTGGCATAAGTACAATGTAAGCAGATTTTTGTTCTAGATTTCTATTAGAAACGCTGATTATTGTTACCCGTTAGATTCACAGTAGTAGCTATTCAAAATGTCATTGATACACTTGTACTAAAAATATTAACAAAAATGGATGTTACTAATGAGATATCATATGTTGTCATAGTGACAACAACAATCATGATGAGGTCTGAAACATTTTTATTTCTTTAATATTCATCTACTAAAAATGAATAAATCAAATTGAAATGAAAAAGATTCGGAACTGAATCGAAAACCAGTTGAATTCAATAATCAAACATTATTAGTTATTTGTTTTGAAGAAATCATTCAAAAAGATTCGATGTTCATGTGCCGATATTGATATTACCTTCCGCTAAGGGTGTGGATGTGGGTGTGGCTAGGGTGTGGGTGTGAGTGTCGCTAGGGTGTGGGTGTAATTATTATATTTATCCACACCCACACCCACCCACACTCACACCCTCCAACCCTGTACAGTCAACTAACAGACGACGCAGTTGTGGAAAAGAGTTGTCGAGAGAAATGAATTCCGACGGAATCGGAATTTGACAACTAATGTCGTGTTTCGCCGAATTTTCGTATCATAGCCACCATGGCACCACTTATGGACGTTTACCAAATTCAGCTATCGAAAGTAATCATGAACTTACGCCAGCTTTATATAATCGATTTTTAATTATTCATTATCAAGGTTTCAATTTATCATCATTAGATACCTATAGAAATCTTTTCTCATCCTATTTTCCAACAGATCAACAAAAATTGATCAATTATATCTGTGAGCAAATGCAATCGGAACAGTTGACAATACGACAATTAGTCTAATTTATGGATTGTGCATTTCAATTAATTACAACAAAAACCCATGAATGTCATAGCCGGATTAAAACAAAACTATAAAATTGCGACACCATGCATCAGATTCACATGATTCTCTTGATCCACTGGTCGATCGCTTGATTGACTACATCTGGTTTTTCTTTCATTACCCAATGCCCAGTATCCAATTCGATCGTTTCCAAGTCGGCGATGTATTGCTTTTGTCCTGCATAGGAAGCGATAGGACCTACATAGTCCTTCGTTCCTCCAATAAAGAGCACCGGTCGTTTAACTATTGGATCAAGATTCATCTCATCATTCCAATCGATATTCGCAATCAACGCTTTGTACCAATTCAATTTTGGCTGCATTTCTTTGGCAAGATATTGACGAAATATCGTGTAGTCGTCTTCTGTCATATATGAAGCTCGAGCCGTTCTTTTCCCATTCGTCACCCAGTCTCGTATTTTTCCAACCGGAGCAAAATCCGTCTTCCAAAGTATAGGATCACTCGCGAAGACAAGATCAATGAAACTTTCCAAATTGTTCTCAATAATCGTGGCAGCATCATCAGACTCAAAGAATTTCCAATAGCCAAGGATTTCGTAGCCAAAAGCTTTCTTTGAACTCTCAAGTGTTCGATCGAGATCGAATATCACCGGTGGACTATAGCCACCACTGATCAACACAAGGCCCAATGTTCGCTCAGGATGATACAAGATAAATTGACTCGCCACTCGAGTTCCCCAATTGTGTCCGACGACGATGATTTTGTTCAAGTGCAAGTGATCGAGAAGGGCAATGATATGTTTGACCATTGATTTGCCTTTGTATTCGTCTTTGTTCAATGGTGAATACGTCTTGCCATAGCCCATCATATTTGGAGCTAGACAACCATATTTTTGCCGTGAGAAATGTTCAATTTGATGACGCCAAGAGTGAAATGACGTTGGAAAACCGTGAAGAAACAACAAAGTTGGTTTTGAATTATTATCGTCATTTGCTTTGACATGCATATACTCGTAGTTAATACCGGGAGCAACTTCGAAGTTCTGTGCTTCCAACATAGTAGAAGAGTGTTGTTCATGGTTGTTAACGGTGTGAAGACTGTCGATTGAAGGTAGAGATACGACAAAAAGAGATAATAGATAAACGATGCAATGCATAACAGCACCCATTTCTTCGTGTTTGTCTATATCAAACGGGCGATGAATACTCCTTTTTATCCTTTATGTGTTCTGTATTACTCAGTCTCTCCTTTGTTGTCTTCGTTGTACTATGGTATCTATAGAATTATATGATATTTGTCGCTTGCACTTTCTACTTTCTAAATGCTAGACTTTAGCCACAACAGTGTGTTGATACAGATGGGAGAATGATAAGGTCACAACAGTAGAAAATTGTGACGTACCAGTTACAGATTCTTTCGCTACTAATCTGACGCAGGATGTATGCACAATATTTGCCGTACATAATCCTCTGAATTTGACGCAACAAAGAAAATATCAGTTCTGTTAATCTTACTACGTATGAAGAACAAAAGAAACAATCTGGTGGTATAGAAGTATTTGAGAATACAATCACCTATCCATCCAAAAAAAAAAGGGAAACTCAATTAAAAAAAATATAAGTATCATTAATTTGTAGAAAAAAAGCATCAATTATCACTGACTTGCGAGAAAAATCACTGATTTTTGTGAAGCACGATTGCGAAAGAGTGTTGAAGCATATAACGAGAAACTAAGGTGATAGACGTGATAAAGAACTCTCTATCGTTACATACTATATACAACACGGATAGGAAGTCACGTGCAAGTGCGACCATATGTGGCGGGATCATTCCAGCGCTGCGTCGCTTTGTTCAACAACACGAACGACTGCCCCTAGTCGATGTTCTTATTGCAAGTACTTGAAAACTTGCCCTTTTTTTGAAAGTAAGTACTTACCTGAGCAACAAGTTTTATCGAATTCTTGTCTACATTGTCTCACTATTTCGTGCATGAGCACACGACATTTGTCCACCTTTGGTGAATCTGGGTGTGTAAGTGTGGGTGTATGGGTGTGGGTGTGGATGTGGGTGTAGATGTGGGTGGATGTGGTGTGGGTGTACGTGTGGAGTGCGGGTGTACATGTGGGGCGTGGGTGGGTGTGGGGCGTAGGTGTGGGCTGGCGTGGGTATGGGTGTGGACAGATGTGGGTGTAGATCGGTGTAGGCAGGGGTGGGTGAGTGTGGGGAAATAACTAAATCACACCCACACCCACATCCAGTGGGGGGGGGGGAGGGTGGGAGCGAGTGTGGGTGTGAATGTGGGTGTGAGTGTGATTTAGTTATTTCCCCACACTCACCCACACCTGCCTACACCCGTCCACACCCACATCTGTCCACCCACACCCACACCCACACCCACTCTCCACATCCACATCTGTCCACCCACACCCACACCCACACCCACACCCACCCACCTACCCACCTACCCACCAACACACCCACACCCACCACACCCACACCCACACCCCAACAAGTTTTATCGAATTCTTGTCTACATTGTCTCTCTATTTCGTGCATGAGCACACGACATTTGTCCACCTTTGGTGAATGTGCGTGTGGATGTGTGGATGTGGGTGTAGGTGTGGGTGGATGTGGTGTGGTTGTACGTGTGGGGTGTGCTCGCAGGCGTGGATGGGGGTGTGTGGGTGTGGGCTGGCGTGGGTATGGGTGTAGACAGATGTGGGTGTGAATGGGTGTAGGCAGGTGTGGATGAGTGTGGAGAAATAACTAAATCACACCCACACCCTGTGGGGGAGGGTGGGTGCGAGTGTAGATGTGAATGTGGGTGTGAGTGTGATTTAGTAATTTCCCCACACTCATCCACACCTGCCTACACCCGTCCACACCCACATCTGTCCACAACCACACCCACACCCACCCACACTCACACCCACACCCACATCCACACCCGCATCCACACCCCACACCCACACCACGACCCCCACCCACCACACCCACACACCCACATCCTATGTGACTGTTGCTCATTTATTGACTCACGCCTTGGGTCTTGGCGCGCTGGAAACGATATTCAATGTACTCACTGTTGAAGAATATGCAATAGAAAGAAATGGCACCAAGGAGTCTTGTAGCAACTATTCTTTGCCCTCACGTCGTTATCACTTAAGTCGCTTATTACCGATGGCTATTCCCAGTTCACCACCATCGATTGGTGTTCCTGTAGCTTACTCTTATTCCAACAATAATTTCATTGTATTAGGATTAATTTTAGAAGAAATCTGGTATTTACCATGGGAATCGATTATTCAACGCCAATTATTTGATCCTTTTGGAATGATTACAGCAGAATTTGGCTCACCAATTGAAGAAGTATCATTGAATTCGTTCGCTACTCAACCATTGGGTCATTTTATAGATACAGCTAATGTGATACATAGTATGGATCGTGATTTACCGAAAGTTTGGGCCCCTACGGGTACAGATCACGCTAGCCTTAATGATTGCGCTAAATTCATTGCCTGTCATTTACAAGAAGGACGTGATCTAACGTCATTCGGATTTGCTCCTATAAATAGTAGTTTCCTTAATTCAACGACCTCACCTTTCTTACTCTGGACATCGACATGGGAAAGTATTCATATCGCATATGTTTTCCCTTCAGCATCTACTCCCAATGCTCAGTATTCACTCTCCGCAATGGGTATTGACAAGGACAGTCTTGGCCTATCTCTGACACACACTGGCACCAACACCGTTTGGTTCGCTTATGTTGCAGTTCATCCTCAATTGGTTCAGCCAATGGCCCTATTAATCACAGCCAATGTTGGCAATAGCAATGCTGTTTTGGAAGCTAAGGCAGTTATTATCAATGTTTATCTCGCTTGGCGACAACAAGGACAACCATTTCCAATGGACACCTCAGCAGCTTCGTCACCTGCACCACTTGGTTTCGAGTCCGCACTCATTCTAGCCAGCATTCACTTCTTCTAATAATTGGTACGAAATGGGTATAAAAACTATAGGATAATTTCCAAATGTTACAAATTACTAGTTTCTTCAGTTGCAATTATTTTCTGTAAATTTAATTACTAAAACTTCCGTCCGAAAACCCTAAAGGCATTCAGAATATATATTACTGTGGGGGCGAATTGAATTTACTCCCTTCGTATTTTTTTCTTTTTATCACTATAGTTCTTTTATTTTTTTAACGCACTATATATCGTGAAAAAGTTCAGAACACGCTGCATCTTTTGATATACTTATACCGTAGTGAATCACCAACACCAATTTAATTTATATTTGATGTCTTAAAACTAACAAACAAAAGAAATGTATTCTACTTGCGCAGCATATTGCAATGACATAAAAGGTCATTTTTTCTTCTAATACAATTTTTACACACTTAAAACTGCATTTGATGTTCAGTATAAGTATATCAAAAGATGCAGCGTATTCTGAACTTTTTCACGATATATAGTGGGTTAAAAAATAAAAGAACTATAGTGATAAAAAATACGAAGGGGGTAAATTCAATTCGCCCCCACAGTAATTCAACAAGTAAAAAACAAAATGTTAGATCTCGAGAGTGTGAAGTTTAGTATAGGCGTGAATATGAATGGTTTTGCGTGGATGCGATATGTGGCTGTAGGGTGTGAAGTGTGGGTGAAGCGAAGATACAAATCCACATCCACACCTACACCCACCCTTTTCCTAAAAGACAATGATTCAATGATCTAAGGTGCTAACGTTAAAAAAATTCAAACTCTTTTCATTTTTGAACTATTTAAAATATTCATTTCTGTTCATAAATCACTGATTTTTGACTTTTTTCATCTGTTTATCATTGGAATAATCTACGAAAGGTAATCCAAAATAAAAGACGATATGGAAATGATCTTTCGGTTGAAATGTGTCTCTTGAGAATTTAACATGTTGTACTTGATGCTGTTGATATTTTATCGATAAAAGACGCATCACTTCGGCACATATAATTCCTACATGAAAGTCAATAGCACAAATTATATGCCACCAAGCATGTAATTGCGGATTAAATCCACCTATACTATTCATTCGTTCACATAACTGTTGATCAATAATCCAACATGTCAAAGCTGGAACTAATAAACCAGCATATATCATGATTAAATACATGACAGAAGTTGTATGATGTTGTGGTTGTCGATATAAAAAAATCATTTTTATAATTCCTCCTAACACCATCAATGCAAAATGTATTTGAAATATAATGACAAATGTTTGTAAACTGTGCAAATAAGTCCATAAAACTGCATAAAATATTCCAAATAGAATTGCTAAGTCAAATGCATAAGTTTTATCTTTTAATTTATTGAATGTATCCATTCTAAAGAGAATAAACCAAGAGATAATCATTGAATAGACCATAGGAAGTTCATCTGCCATTTGACCTAAATGTGTGAGTGTACCATGAAAATAAGCAGAACCGAATCCGACAATACCAAAAGATAAACTAAGCAATAGAAATCGATTTTCAATTTTATTGTATAAACCTCGAATGAATAATATGGCAGCTAATAAAGACATAACCAAGCTTGAAATACAATTCCAAAATTCAGCAATATATTCTGTTACGACATAATTTCGTTCACACCAATCAATTGAACTAGTACTAGGTGACCAATAACCTGTATTCGTGTCGAGTTTGGATTCAAAATGTTTTACATCCGATCGATGAGTTTGACTAGCTAATACTGCACGTGCTTCAATTATAACTGCACGAAATATTATACTAGATAATATGTGAAAAATTAACATTGATGACAGCATTTCGAACAAAATTTATTTTACAAAAGATCAAATTGCAGTACTATCTGTTGGCTGAGTGTACCAACAAATTCTTGGATTCATTTTATTTGTTTCTTAATTTTTAATGACTTCGATTTTTCAGATTAAGTGTCTAGTGAAGCAAAATAAAAACAATGATTACATTTGATTATTATGTTCGTTTGCAATTGCACTTAAGAACAGTACATATTCAGTATGTTGAATCGCAAGTGCAAACAAATACTAACAACAAAAACTATAAAGAATTGTTGATACTAGTTCCGCTATTTTAGTATGTTATTCTCAGAAGAAAATATGAGAGACGAAAATACTATCAGTATCACTAGTAGAAAAAAATGATGATATGATCAATATGCGAATACAGAAAAGTTCATATTTTCAGATCATCTTTTATTTTTCTGATATTTCATAATATTCGATATTTTTAAAATAATATTGTTATTTCCTTATCGATTGCTGTGCTTAAATTCTTTTACTATATTTCGAGCTTCACCAGAAAAATGAAGTCGACAAGAAACATAAAAAATACAAATCACAGCGGAACAAAAAAAAACTGTCATCTACATATTCTACGAAAAACATCCTTTCTTTCTCTCTCGGATATGTAATGCCATACTGATGATGTTTCCTTTTAAGAGAAAGGATCGAGTACATGGACAGAGAAGCAGAGAGAAAAAAAAGCATCAAAGAATGTAAGGCATGACATAAAAACAGAACACAAAATAGACTGTACTAACAACTCAATCTGTATTATGGCCAATAGTCATGACAGGTACAATTTTGAATGAAGTAGTTTTTGATTTTGGTACAGTTTCACAAGACTGACAAAAGATGCCAGTAATTCAGATCTTAAAAAAGCATAAGTTGCTATATTCGATAGTTGCAAATAGAGTTAGAGAACAAGAATGAGACCACAATTCATTACAATACTTGATCGAAAAAAAAGAAAGAAAAAATTTTTAATATAACATGTGATGCAAAAGTAATTGCACAAATGTCGACCTCTATTTCTCTTTAATAAAAGAGTGCTGAAAGAAAATCTTTTTTATCAAAAGATAGTCTTTTCTCCCCTTTCGAGTCATATGTAACATATTTTTACCACATGTTCACAGATGAAACAAATCAACAGAAAAGAAAATCACTCTTGAAAAGGATCCACACTTTTTGTGAGACCCAGAAAAATGTCACAAAATGTCGATTCCTATATCTCTCCGATAAATAGGTTCTGGAAATATCATTGTATAGGAAATTTTCTCCTCTTTGGAACAGTATATTATATATATTTGTCATACATGTATAAATAAAGTGGCAAAAGAAAAAAAGAGAAACACTCGCACAATAATTTCGTAACGTTTACATGGAATGGTCAAAAACATCATTTTAGACAGTAATTAATTCGATGTCTGTGAATTCATTAAATAGATCTTGTAAAATGGTACTTACTTTTCCTTGTATGAAATCATTAAAAACCATCTTGTAAAATGACAATTTATTATGATTAAAATCATGTACAAGATATTTTTGACAAATTCATGTAAAAGTTATAAATTTATTGCGTGAGTGCTTCTTCTTTCTCTCGTCCCGCTCCATTTATGAATAGTTGACAAATATGAATCATATACCGTTCGAATGAGAAGAAAATTTTTTATCCACTAGTACAAAAATATTATTTTCAGAACATGTTTATTAAAGGGATATAAGGAGCGATATTTTATGCGGTTCTTTTATGAAAAATTGCAGATTCTTTTTAAGGATACTTCTCTTCTCTGTTGCATCGTTTCATTTATGAGCATGTTAAAAGAATACGTGACATATGTTTCGTAAAAGAAGTAAAGGCTCTTTTTTTGGTTGAAAAAAATTTTCTTTCAGTACCCTTTTATTCGGGAATGTGTCAACTCGTCACGTTTTTTCTTGTCTGGTTTTCGTAACGAATTGACAGTACGAAAGCCCGTGACAGAGCTTTCGTAACGACAAAATCAGGGCTTTCGTAACAAAAAATCAGGGGTTTCGTAACAAAGTTTACAGGGTGATCGTAATTGGTGTTTTAATATGTGCCATTACAGAGCTTTTGTAACGAAAAGCATGTAATTTCTGCAAACTCAGTTCAGCTATCACCCTCATCCTCATTACGAAATCCCTGTTGCTTCGTTTCGAAAGCTCTGCAACTGTTACGAACTCCCTGTATTAATCGTTACGATCGTCCTGTAAATTTCGTTACGACATCCCTGTATTTTTGGATATCCCTATTTTTGGTGTTACGAAAGGTCTGATTTTTGCTGTTTGTTCAACTCGTCACGTGACGAGTTGAGACGTTCTCTTTTATTCAAGAGAAATAGAGGTTGACATTTGTGCAATTATTTTTGCACCACATGTTATAACAAAATACAACGAGTGAATAATTCAAGAAAATGCATTATCTAGTCTCTGAATTACACAGAATGTGTCAAATTTTCGAATGTTTGACCGCTTTCTATCTGAACAGAGAATATAACCCAATCAGACAAAAAATTTTTAAAAATTCTCAAAATGCGTCAGAATTTTAACGAAAATACAATTGTAATAAACACACACTTTTTAGCATTCGATGTTTGCGTTGAATGAAAATTCATCTAAATTATACTTCAAGTAATACAGATCTGTAGAACATGATTGCTCTCTCTAGGAATAGACTCGATTTAAAAGCTAAACATTTAGTAATAAATGAATATATGCGATATAAATTATTCTACTTTTAAGGAACTCATCTAACTAATACAAGTTCTATGATAGTAACATATACAAAGGTTGTTTCATAGATTATAGGCAATTTTGAGTTCTTTTGTATTTTTCGACATATGTAGTAATATACATATATATATATTTATTTATAATTGGTGAACTATTATCCTAAATTGACTATACTCAATTGACATCATTATAAAGAAAGCATTTTGAAATAAAAAACATACTAAAATATATTTATCAAATTTTTTTTCTACTCATTTTTTTGTTAAAATGTGAAAATATGAGTCGTACATGCACTAGAAGTCATTTTTATCATTGTGTTCTTACGGAGTCTATTACTAAAATAGGTTTAGACGTTGTTTCTTTTATATGAGGAAGATAACAAAATAATGAAAAAGAATGAACAACAAATTTAATAAAATTATTTCAACATTTTTCCTAATAACATACCGTCTTAATAAGTATTTCAGGTTTAAATGGTAACTTAGATGTTACTTATAAATCTATATCTTTTATGTCTGTTCAACTTTATGTTTTCGAACAATACAAAAAGAACATCAAAATGGGTCCGAAACTTATGAATGATATTTAACTATAGTTATATACTTCTTTCTCACTTCTACTGACATTATCGGTAATGTTCAATCGCTTCACAAATATCTATGTTGCCTCTATGCAAGTATAAAAGATTTCGATAAAACGACTAATAATTTAAAGACTAGCTCGTATTTAGTCACTTGTTTGGATTGTCGACCCATTAACTATCTTAATTCTTAACTGAGTTTACGAAAGAAATGGCATTAGTCAACGAATGATAAATGATCGAATATACGATTTATCCAGACGAATGAGAAAATTAATAAATAATACCCAGATGAATAAAATAGAACTGAAGATAAAAAAAGAAGAAAAACATAGATTTCAATATGTATACAAACGATTAAGTCATTGTAATGAAACGACATTCTTCATACTCATTTCGTTCGTGATATCAACTGTGTAATCATTTTGATTATGTTCGAATATTCTCTCTTCTTGTGACCGATACACTTGACTGCTTTTTCTCTTCTCTTTCTGTCACTCACTGATATGGATATAAACATGTATGAATGGAGAGAATAGATTAACTATTGTATGAAAATATCAACAATTAAGTGTACATCCTTACTACACGGACATCTCTGTACTCAAGTTCGTCACAGTCATTAAAATTCATTTTTACAAACTTGGAATATTTTCTGAGAATGACGATATGACAATACCAAAATGAATCGAAACTAGAAGATTTGATATGCTGAATTATGTTTAGATGCCCTGTCAAAAATATCAATTTTTTGAACTCTCTACATAGTCGAATAGCCCACATTTTCTACTTTCGGAATCACTATTACTGTTAGTTTTTATGACGGTTTTCGAGAGATTTTTTAGAAAACTCGCAAGCCGAAAATTTTTGTTAAATTTTAGTTTTTGAAGCCCTATCACTTCGCATACAGGCTTTTGACCTCGAGAACGTATATCACATACTCTAGCAAGTATGCTTCATGCGTTTCCTCCATGTGATCTCTCATTAATCGGGCTACGACCGAAAAAAAACTTAGTTTTCCAAAGTTCAATTTTGTTCGCTATTTTTCTTAAAACGAGCTTTTTTTTGCTCATGCATCCAAGGTTCTCAGCCATTTCACATGCGAGAAAGGTCGGGAAGATTTTAAATTGAAGAGAAAATTATACTCTACAACTTAGCAGCGCTAGATTTTTTCCTTTTGGATCTAGGTTTTGAGAAAAACGGATCTTTTTTCATAGTAGTACCTCTGGTTTTTCGAACTTGTCGAGAAAAGCTGATACACAAAATTAACAACGAAGAATTTACAAAACCAGTTTGTGTTAAGTTATAGCAGCAAGTGTTAGCTACATCTTGACGGCAAGTCGGATTCTATATCCATAAACTTGAAGTAGAAAAATTAATAATGTATGATTTTAGAGCGTTCGTCTCAGAATGACAATCGATATAAATATAACTTTATATATGCCAAGAATTGTGGTCATGATATCCACTACGATGTCAAACCAGAAATATCGCTAGACAATAGGTTTCATGATAGAGAAATAAGGAAGGAATTAACTCACTAACTCAGTTGTAATCCCTGTAGAACGTATAAAGAAACATTGCTATATGACATGATCGTTCTAGCTCACAAATAAATGCAAATTATTTATTTAGACATATTGCGATATAAAACTTGAAAGAGTACCAATCATCAAGAAGCATCACTCTCAGTAATGAAGAGCAACAAAGGAATAGGTTAGATGATAAGTTTATTTTTTCAAGAATCTCTCGTCTAAATTCTGTACGTCTAATTCAGTCTAGTTGTAGAAGTAAAAACGAACAAAAAAACGGATACGAATGGACTTCTCTTGCAATTAGAATCTCTCGTTGTGTAATTCTGGATGTGATGAGACTTTGCATTCCGTACGTTGAAAGTATGTCAAACAGCAATCAACTTAAAGCGGGGGTGGGAAGATTCTCCTTACAAACAAACTTTTTTACTTTTCCATGCGATTCAATCAAAATTTCAGAGACTGGTAGCCTTGGCTAGAGTAGATTATGGTTGAAATATCTTCTCAAATCTGCGAGATATTCGGGTGGGTGTGGGTGTGGGTGTATGAGTATGATTCTAGAAAGCAAGCACATCCACACCCGCACCCACACCCACACCCACGCCACACCCACACCCACCCACACCCACACCCCACCCACACCCACACCCTTATCCTAACGGCTATGAATCAAGCAGGTTGCATTCCATGTTTCTTTCTTTTATATACATACCTTTTTTTTTTTTATTATACTATACACATGTATTAAGAATAAACATCAAGTGAGCACTGAAACACAGATTATTAATTTAAAAAAAATAAACGCAAAAATTGTTGTTTTTTTTTATCTCCTAAAAAATATGGTACTATTTTTTTGTCAATCAAAATTGAAAATGTATAGTTTGTGACATTCATAATAAGTTTCAAATCTATTTCAATAACATCATTCGTTATCTTATATTTCAAAAAAAATTTTCCGTATCTAATCACTAATAAAAAAAACACTCATGTTCAAATTATTTCTGTTTGACTCTAAAATTTCTACACACAACATGCAGCCATTAATTTAAATTCATTCTATTCTAAAGAATATATTTCTACTTTGAAATTGTATTCATTACAAAATATATTATACGACATACCGTTAAATGCAAAATCAGGTGAACAAGTGCAGTATAGTATTGTTAGGAGTACATGTGGTAATATACGAGGGTAAAACAGTGTAAAGACAAAAATATGTCCTTGCAAATTATGTTTTTCTTTTTGATTAAAGAAACGAAGAAGAAACAACTCAATCAAATTACGGCACAATGTTTATAAGTTGTAAAATAAATAATAACAAATATATGCTCAGAAAAAATATTTTGGACTCTTTTTGTTTGTGCAAAAAGTTAAACACAACAAAAAAAACTCGTTTCTTTTTGGTGTATTCATTCGAGCTGGATATCGCATACAGAACAGTCGAATAAAGGGCCTGTTCTAATAATCAGCAACAAATTTATCTTTATTTATCATGCGACATCCCTTATGTAATAAAATTTTTAGAAAGAAAAAGAGAAACATTTTAATGTCAATTCATATTTCATGATCATGATGGGAACATGTACAGGAAATTTCAATTTCATTATCATCGTCACTATCTATTGATGATGATGATGATGATGAAGACGTTAAGAATTGTCTTTGGTCACTCTGCTCATCCGGATAAATAATACATGGTGTTTCTACATGATCCTGTAGCAATGATGATCGACGTTTAGCTTGTAATGGTGAAGAAGTCGGCGTTGTAGTTGAAGATGAAACTGATGATGAAGATGAAGTTGTTGGACTTTGATTATTATTTTCTTCTTTTAACATTTGATATAATTTTTGTGGTGTAGCTATACCATAACGATCATTAGATGTTGATTCGATTCGAAATTGATCTAATGATTGACAATCTTAATTACAAATATTTTGTTATATTAAACAAGTTCGAAAAAAAGAGACTGACCTTTGATAAATGTATCTGTATATTGATTAACACGATGGGTTCGTATTAAATAATAATGTTCAATATTCAAACCTAGTTGTGGTTCTTCAGAGATCGTGACGGCTTGAATCTATACAGAAAACAAAGAAAATACGATTGATATCAATTTCGTTAACGTTCAGCAAAAATAAACTTTGTTCACTGAACGATAAAGTGGACTAGAAAAGCTTCAGACAACACAGAAGAAACTACTGAAATATACCATTAGATGCAGAATTAAACGGGCTACATTTTATTATGAAATTTTTTCTTAATTATTAACTTGAATAATTGAATATTAATAATGAATAATTTTAGTTAATTAATTAATTAATGCAACTTGTTTCCATAGTTTTTTATTTTCAAGTGTACGATTAGAAAAAGCATTGAAAACTGAATAAAACTACATTTTTTGTTTCACAATAACTAGTTACAACAGAATTTTTTGCAATACTTTTTACAGAGTCAGTAATAGTATATTAATAGTTAATCAAATTAGGATTCAAACAACAACTTCGAAACACTGAAAAATAGTGCATTTTATAGGATAGGATTTTTCTATCGAATGATACCTTACAATCTTTTGTAAAATGTATGTTTCATCAAATATATGGCTTTAAAGATGTTTAAGTATCGAGTAAGTAGAAAATTAGTGGAAAGTCTCTTAAACTTCTGTGGTCCACTTTATATGAAGAAAAACAATATTGGTTGACTATCCGTTATACTGAGAAACTATCTTTCTCACTAAACTATGTTCTAATCCTTTGAGGGTGCGTGAATATGTGTACGACTTGTACTAGTACACTTCTCATTCTGCAGTCTCATGTAAAGGTATGTATATGTACTCCTATAAGAGGCATATATATCCCTGAAAAATCTAGAATTATAAAATTCATGTACTCGTATGTATCCATGTTATGAATACATACGAGTACATGTACCTCAGCTGACATAGTTGGGACTCTACGAGTACAAGTTGTACATGTACTCACGCATCTCTGAATCCCTTACAATCGCAGAAATTTTAGTGCTTTGTTAACATTGATCTCTATAAACGCTAGAAAGTGCTGTCACTGTGTCTTTATTCCTTCCTCTTATTCTCTTTGCTTTGCTTTCTCTTACTTCTTTGCATTATGTTATCATCATTTGAAGATAGATATATTCATATTTGTAAAGTAAACACGAACAAAAGTTGGTTCGTCTTGTTCGAGAATTAGAGTCGTATGGAAATCTGCACGATCATTTTTGACATCCTATCGGAGTCATCAATGTAATTTTTTTTTGGAATCAAAATTGGAATTAAAATCGCTAATTCCGATTCTCATTCGAAATCGCCCACTCCGTAATTAAAAGATAATCTTAGCTTACGAATGCTAGTTATCGAATCGAACATATTATACGCTAAAAGCACCATATTTTGATGTTTTTCAACTCGTTGTTTATATATATATATCTATATGTATCATGCCGAAATGGCTTCAGGTCAACTACATACGAGGTCACTATTTATTCAATAACTGTTGATATTGTAACGAAAGTGAACCTTATTACTAATTTTGTGTTTTGTTAACGTGATATAATTTTGGGAAAGATTAATAGTTTATTTTAAGATTATTCAGAAAGACGAAAAATTAGCCTTCGCTAATACTTTACATAATTTCTTTTATCTGCTTTATTTATACTGGTATTCATGGATGCCCAATGGAACAGAACAAAGAAAGAGAGCTGGGAAACAAAAATAAGACGATGACACAGAGAGATATCCACAGCGCCATTTTTGCGTCCTGCTCTGCCACGGTAACAGCATTAATGTTGAAGGTTTTGTGCCCAATTCGGTGCTGTGCTGTCCTGCATCACAGGACTCGTGTTCTACAGTGTGAACAGAATATTAAAAACGCATAATCTATATATAAGCTCAAATACTGATAGTAAGCCATACACTCGATGAAGTAAAAAAATATCATGATTCTCAATAAGTAATAATAATCACAAAACATGTAAGGAAAAACATTGAGAAATCATATTAAAATGAATAATTTTTTTATTCTGAAAAAAGCTTCTTAGCGCAGCTCATTTGGAGCTAAAATATGAAACTCAGATATTTCATATAATCTAGAATACTCATCAACTACTAAACTAGCTGTTACAATCTGTAATGGAAGGTTGTTTATAATGACAGCCTTTATGTAATGAAGGCCTACGCTGCTATGATATGCAATTGGGGTAGGCGAAGCCGAAAAATCTCTATTTAAAATATACACTCGCTGTTTTTCTATGAAAAATATATGTGAGTTCTACAAAAAAAGATTAAAATGGCTCTATTTGAATGTTCATAGAATCTGATGTTTTCCATTACATTTTTCATATGGTCTTATATGACGACTTTCTTTTATTATTCATGTAATAGACTGTTCCAATTTAAAAAACCTTATCTGATTTATAAAATTCATTCGATAAGATGAATCAGAAAAATCTTCAAATTAGATTAAAAAGATTGTGTCTAAAAACCTAATTATATTAAGATAATAATGCCATTTCAATGGAGTTTTTATCAAAAAATAGTCAACTTTAGTCTTTTTCTAACGTTTTCTACATGAAATGTGACAGAAAAATTTAATACGGAACATGAAGTGTATTTAGTATTTTTATTGTAATCTTATTTAACTCGCAAACATGATTTTGTTCACTGGCTTGAGTTTCAGTTTTTTTCCTTTTTTCAACACTGACTGGAATTAATTGACTATGTATGATGGGTTAGTTGGAGCAGTGGAAATATTTAAGAAAAAGAAATTTCTAACGTTACTTTAATCAACGATAAAGGAAGGATGAGTATCATGAAGCCAAAGAGGGCCAGGCGATGTTGGATTCAAAATTTTGCCTACTTGGTCCAGTCGAATAGTAGCAAGAAATTAAGCAATGCTTAGAAATATATTTCTACCATAATTATTCTTTTCTCTTCTATTTCTTTTCTGTATTTTCATTAGAATATTAATTTCCATACATATATGATAGTTCTAGGAACTCTCTGATAACCACATATTAGTTATTTCTACACATAATTCGACAGAAATCCTTAAAGTAAGTCATGTCAGTTGTTGTTCAAAAATTAATCTAGTATTTCGAAGTTTTATGGCAAAAACATCTTTTCCTACTCTCCCCTGCTCCGGAGTAGGGCCAGGTAAAAATTTCGCCGTCTCGTGTAGGCATCTTTGATAGAAAAGTTTTAGGCTGAAGCGAAAAGCAAATGCATGAAAAAAGTTAAAACATCGTACTTGAGACATTTTCAATTGCGTACATAAAACATATAGAACGCTAAAATAAACGAAATCTAAACCAAAGTTCAAAACCATGAACATATGACTCAGGAAACGACCTTATGTGTCAGAAATTCAAAAGCACATCCGCCTCGTATAGAGATGTTGCTAGGACATCGCTAGGGAGAGACCCGAAAAGGACACACTTAAGAGCTAAACTTAACGTGTGGAGACCATTCATAAGTGTCATCCCGAAACGACTTCAGCACATATATAACTGACCGAGTAGAGTGTATTCACTCGGGATAGAAAAAAAAAAGAAATGATCGGACCAATTTGTTAGGCCGTATGACAATTTTAAATTATAACAGAATGTCTTATGAAGGATATTCTGTTAGAAGGTAGTTAATTAGCAAAAAAAATCAGGATAAATCCAAACAAAATGTGGGAAAATAAAACTATAAAAATGTTGTCACGACAATTGTATAGCAATTCGGTTTTCGTATTTAAATAAAACTTTAAACATCGGTGTTGGAGATCTGATGTTTTTTTACAAAATATGCTTACGAAAAGTTCCAAAACTTTACGTAATTATTGTTTAACTGGACTACATTAAGTTTTGTATTTTATGAATGATCTCTTGTATAGCAAAGCATCAATTGACACAAAAATTTGACGTGCATGGTCTCATCAGCTGCTAGAATTTATTTTCAGAATCTTTCGAAATGTTCCCAAGATCTTAATGTTAATTGTAATATAAAATATTAAAGGAGGATGCAGATAACGTGGATATCTTTTCGAAGATGAAAGTCAAAAACAGGTAAGGGAGGAACGAAGCGCAAATATGAAATGACTTTTCTGCTCTATGACTTTTACTTAAATAGAAAAAAATATATTCAATGTTATGACAGTTAAATTCAACAAGTCTTAACAAGATAAATTGCGTTTATCTCCAAAAGCTTCAGCGTGTCAAGTCTTTGTCATACTTGATCTGAACGACGGTTTTTGACACATTTTATTCTTTCTTGATAAATCTGTTTTCCTTGATAATCTGAATTTGAATCACATCTAGAGATTTGCAGGATCAATTATGGTCCCGGTAATAAAATTGAAAATATCTCTGTAGTCTAGAAGCGTAATAAAGTTTCCAATAGTACGTTCCGTAGAGAACCATTTTCTTTACACGATAAGACTATCGCGAATACTGAGTAATTATCACAGCCGGAGATATTTGTGTTAGAATCGACTGAAACCACTACCGGAACCGGGACCAGGACCAAACTGATCCCGGCCATTATATTTGCTAAATTATTTGATAACGAAAATCTGTGTAATATTTTAAAACATACAGGCGGAAAGAGCAAACATTTCTCTACAAAATGCGTGGTTAAACAATAATTTAATAATAAAGCTGATCAAAGAGTAAACAAATCGTTGACCGGAACCAGAAAAATGTTTCTGGTCCCGTGCACATCTCTAATCACAGCACTCCAGAGGTCTTTTATTAAAAAGAGAACTTAACGTAGTGTAATTGAACAGTAATTATGTAAAGTATCAGGAAATACTAATTCTTATTCTTTTTCAGTAATCTTAAAGAAAACTATTAATATTTCAAAAATTTGACTATGCTAATAAAATGCAATATTCACTATAAAAGGTCATTTTCATTATGATATCGTTAATTATTGGATAAGTAATAAGTATTTCATTAATCTGATATAACTTCAACAGAATTTGGTGTCGAACTTACAATTTCGACATGTCATATATATGTCTAAATCATGCTTTTCACTGTTTGCTAAAAGGTAAAGAAAGAAGTCCACCGTTTTACATGAAAATATTTACTATTACAAAAATTTTTTACTGTGAACATTAACATCATATCGGAATCGGTGCGTTCATTTTTTGAAATCATACAGAAATTGTCAGTAAAAACTTTTTAGGATCGAAATCGGCGATTAAAATTTCGATTTCGATCGTGAATTGTCCATCTCTAGTGTAAAAAATATCGCTATAGAAAGAGAAAATTAACCGAGAAAGTTAGTTGGTCGACTAGAATTATACAGAATCTTTATTAAGTTGTATAAACTTTGTCATAAAGTCTGTTTACACGAGATTCATTACTTGTGAATATAAAAGAACTCACATTGAATGTACGTCTCTTTGATTTACTTATCGTAAATAAGCATCCACCAAATGCATGTTGTTCAAGTGCAAAACCAGCATCGCCTTTGACACATGAAGCTTTTACGTGAGTACCAATTTTTGTTGGTGTAATAAAATTCTTTCTAGAATAAGCCATATTCTAGTTGGCTATGAAAAAGAGAAAACGAAACTCACGTTATAGGATCAGCATCAAAACCAAGTTGAAACATCACGAATGGTGTAAATATATGTCCACATTCGTGTAATATCTTTCCAAAAGCAAAAAAACCATGTGCAGCTAATTGATTTTCTTTTGCACTGATCATCTCATCAATCCACTAAAAGAAAAGAAAAAGAGATAGTTAACAATAGTGGCCTTATCTACAGTAGTTGCTTCTTTCCAAGGTTACGAAATCATCACCGGGTTGTAGGATTTACTCAGCTTTGCCTCGTTCAATGCGAAAACCCAGTTCAATATTAGAACAGTACTCAAACTGAACTGAATTCAACAATTATAGTATTGTTTAAATTAATTGGAATATTCAGAATACGGTGAACTGTAAATCATCAGAATAATCTTAATGATCAAAACCAGAGAACAGTCAGACTTATAGAGTTACCAGAATTACAAAATTACTAGAATAATCGGAATAATCAGAAGTATAGAATTATAGAATAACCAGAATTATATAATAATCAGAATTACAGAATTATTAGAATGACGGGAATACTCAGAATTAGAGAATTATCAAAATCAAGAAATTATCAAAACGGCCAGAATAATCAGAATCATTGAATTTTCACAATATTAGTTATCATAATTATGGAATCATCAAAGTAATCGGAACTATTCTGTTTATTCTAAAATTCTGATCATTTTAATATTTCTATTATTCTAAAACTTCGATCATTTTTATATTCTAATAATTTCGAAATTCTGATTGTTCTAATATTTCGATCATTTGAATATATCGATATTTTGATTATGGGCTGGCCCAGAAATAACTTTACAATAAAAAATTTGAATTTCTTTACGATGTTCCACACTATGCTGGCTGATTTTTTTTCTGTAACAGAGATGACTTCACAATTTTTTTTTCATACTAACGGCATTTATAACTATTGCTTTGAAGTATCATCATCGAGTTCAATAATGAGTTGTTATCTTTTAGAATGTTGAAGATGGTCCTAATAGATCCATCTATAATTCATTTGTCCTTCGACGACTGTATATGATTGATCGTTTATTTCCATAAGGTATAGATGGTACAAAAACTAAGAAAAGCCAATTCCACATTACAAAACGAAACACGTAATTACATACATTCGTCGAACGACGAATGAATCATAAATGGATCTATTAGGATCATCTTCAACATTGTAAAAGATAAAAATTCATTATTGAACTCGATAGTGATACTTCAAAGCAATATTTATAAATGCCGTTAGTATGAAAAAAAACTCTGAAGTCATTTCTATTACAGAAAAAATATCAGCCAGCATAGTGTGGAACATAGTGATGATATTCAAATTTTTTATCGTAAAGCTACTTATGCACTACTCTGTGTTTTGAATTTTCGATTATTCGAATAGTTCTAAAATTTGAATCATTCTAATATTTTCATTATTCTAATAATTCCAAAATGCTGATTCTTGTAAGATTCTGATTATTCTAATTACTGTAATAATTCTAGAATATCTGTTATTCTAATATTTTGAATATTTAAATAATCTGAAAATTCTGAAATTTCAATGATGCTAAGACTGTGATTAATACAATGTACTAGTCGCTAAAACCTGTTTATTAATACTATGAATTGAAAATTCTAAAAAAATTCAATTAAGTAATTAAAATTTCGCAAATCTTATTCATCATTGACTCGTATAAAGGGAAAATCATTTCAAAACATTGCCCCTATAAATCCTTTTGAAAATGCTCGATATTGTTTCCCTCGTGCAATTCTATGAGATCTATTGATATGTTCATCCATTAGAACTCTAATAGAATCTTTTTATTAATTTTCTGCTTGTTAGATGAAGGCGACAGATCTCACAGATGAACAAGAGATTTTGGTACTATAGAGACGAGATTCACTTGATATGTACACATGCGAACAAATTTTTAGAAAAAATCTTCATGAACGAACAGAACATACTTAATCATATTGAATAAATTACATACCTTCTGATTAATAATAATTTTACCAGTTAGCATTGTTTCATCTTGACGATAAATCATCGGTTTAGATTCCATGAAAGAAGCTCTATTAATTGTCTCAGTATCAACTTCAATATGGCACCGTTGAAGCATCTCTTCAGTAAGTATTTTTTTATTGATCGATAATTGAGAATAATTTGTTTCATCTGTGGAGCTACGACATAACATAAAGTCATTAATAAATTTGTCAATTGCAGGTAAATACAAAGATGGATTTGAGAAAAATGCTATTGTTCTAGCAATAGCTGTTCTAATTAAGGAAGATTCCATTAATTTTATCAAACGCTGACGTTTTCTTTTCTTGTTGAATGATGGAAACGATAAAATTAGACCAGATTTAGATATAAAAAATGTTTTAAGGTAAGGTGTATTTCTGCAAATTTCGACTATCGTTTGAGCAATTTCATGTGGTATTACCAATGGTGGATGAGTGAGTTGATTCAATAAAACATAGGCTTCAATCTATTAATAAAAAGAACATAATTATTTTCGTTGAATGAATGGACAAGTTAGAAAGGAGGAGGGTCGATAAGCGATGAAATCGGCCCTCCTCCTTTAAAAATGGAAATAATACTATTAATTTGATCGATTTTTATGAAAATGGTCAAACAAACTGCATTATATATGATGAATCAGATACAAGACCTGGTCTCTTTTAATTTCATTGACTAAAAAGAATATTTTCATTAAAAAAAAAAAAGTCATGAAGTTGATTTTTTCTCAAAATCGTGAAATTAGGTTGGTTTCTTTATCAAAGCCATGGAATTAAAACGATGAAAATATCCGTTTTAATCAATAACAACGACACGATTAAACAAATACATACATTAGCATTTGCAGCTTGAATATAGAGCTTCAACAATGATTCAACTGTAGCTATGGCAGGCACAATAGGAAGATGTAAACGTTCTGAAAGTAGAGGTCAAAGTTGATGAAATCCATTTAAAATCTGTTTTATGATGATAATAATAGCAACAAACCAATTTCATTATTAAGAACTAAACCATAAGATAATCGTGCTGCTATATAACAAAGTTCTTTTGCCACTAAACAGAAAAAAAACAGCCTTTTTTTGTGAATTGCAAAAAAAAGTGTTTGTCCTTGCTTGTTTCTAAAAGAAACAACAGAAAGAAAAGGCCTACCATTTATTTTCAAATTGTTAATTAGAAAATCAAATTGTCCATCATTAAAACCATGAATATTAAATGTTGCATGAATATTTAATGGAAGATGGATTGATGGTGATGTTGATGATGCAACAGATGTGGAGATAGTAGATTGTTCGGTTGTCATTATCATAAATCACTTTTTTTTTAAACAAATATTATATGACGAGAGTGTTTATAATCTGAAATTAAAAGAAACTGTTCTGTTACATTTGATTCAGAAAATAATTCTTATATTTGCTCACTCTTTTCGGCTACAGTGTCTTTTTATGTGTGAGAAAGAATTATTAGTCTATCAGTACAGGGTGTCACATAATCTTTGTCTCCCCCTCTACCACTTTGAGTAGCAATGATTTTCTTGGATATTTTTACATGGTTCGACAGAGCTCATCGAGCTGTATAGAAGTGCATATTTGAAGGACATTTTGAGCCATCTTTTTCAGGTAAAAAATTCAAAAAACTACTTTGAAAATCTCCAAAAATGTACAAAAATTTCACTTTCTTATATAGAAGAAAAACACTCGATTTTTCAATAAGATTAGCTTTTGTTCATTATTTTTCCTATCTCAGACGTTTTAAAATGTCGGAGATAGGAAAAATAATGAACAAAAGTTAATTTTATTGAAAAATCGAGTGTTTGTCTTGCATATAAAAAATGAAATTTTTGAACATTTTTGGAGATTTTCAAAGTAGTTTTTTGAATTTTTTACCTGAAAAAGAGGGCTCAAAATATTCTTCAAATATGCACTTTTATACAGCTGGACGAGCTCTGTCGAACCATGTAAAAATATCCAAGAAAATCATTGCTACTCAAAGTGGTAGAGGGGGAGACAAAGGTTATGTGACACCCTGTAGAATAAGAATAATACTCATATATTTTAGTTGATGAAAAGATAAATGAACATTCAAGGAAAAAATAGGAAGCGAACAATCGTACAACTTAATCATTCAACACCGTTATAAACAAAGCGTTAAAAAAAATTGTCCTTAAAAGGCAAGACAAATTTCACTTGTTATCAAACAGGTGGCAAAACATCGAAAAATAAAATGTCCAACTGCATAATATCGAAGAGGTAAAATATCGAAGGGGAAAAGTATTCAGATATAAACGTAGGAATATGATCAAGATGATGTTTTGAATGAAGAGAACCTCGGACTATAAAACGTTGTTTGGACAGAAGCAAGACAGAAGTTGTAGTCGAAAATAAAATTTGATCTACAATATAGCGGTGTCAAACTGTATTTTCCTTTTCGACTGAAAGTAAGAAGAAGCCACTTAACTGAAAATGTTTATTCATTTCAAGTATCGATGACATAGCCTGATGGGTTCTGCTTCAGATAATATACACCATATACACATATTAGTTGGTACAACAATGAGTGAAGGTGAAATGGTGTGTGTAGTCTGAAGAATACACGAAAGTAACGCATGTTCAGCAAGTAAATTCAATCTATTAATGAATGAGATAAAAAGAACTTGTCGTAATATGACTCATATAAACATGAATGTATTATTGCACGAGTTTGTGAATGATAAATTATTTGAATTTGAATTTCAATTAATATTGATGATAATTTTTTTTTGGCATGAATTTAAGTGATCAGTGAAATGGATGGTATGATCAGTACGAGGGTGTGTGTGGGTGTGGGTATTGGTCTTATCTTCCACCCACACCCCACACCCACACCCTTTTGGCCATGCCGTCTCGATAATAACATCATTATAAATGATCTGTGTTAGGATTGGTCAGAGTATTTTGAGGATTTCATGGCGCTGCCTCTTTTTTTTTTAAACTAAATATACAGTTCGATAGAGAAAAATTTTTTCTATCTACTGATGCCAATCTTATAACTAGCCCCTTCCAAAAAAAAACAACCAATCATAGAGCATTTGCTATTGTTTCACTTATTTGAGCTGTTTTTTCGGCTGAGCGTCCATACTATATGCAAATGACTCTAGAAAGATGATGTAAGGTGTATCGAAAATGTAGTTGATTTTGATTCAAAGACTTATTTATAGCAATAAAAGCTCAAATATCTAAATGGGGTACAAAAAGTGTACCCCAGGGGTACAAAATAACAAAATGGGGTATTGTACCCCAAAATGGGGTACAGTTGGCAGCCCTGGTTGAGTCATCGAAGTACAGAGAGAAAGAAGAAAAATCAGTTATTGGTTTATTTAGTAATCCTATGAGAAGTTTTTTTTTGTAATTCTTTATTAATATTTTTTTTAATCAACGGAATGTTTTGAAAACTTTTATTTGAAGAAGTGTCCGTCACATTTTATACATGCATTTCATTCAATTAAAATCGAACATGGGCACATAAAAGAGCGTCCTCTATTGTATTTGTTCTTAATTAATATATTATACAAGCGACAACCAGTACGCATATCAACCGGCTCGAAATTTTTAATGTCGTGCAGAGTTGATAAAAATTACATCATTGGAAAGAGCGTGAAAAACTGAGTATGAGTCACTAATTTTTCGAAATGGGTACACTATAGCCTCCAGCAGATTTTTTTCAAAAATAGATTTTCCAGCGAAATCAGCAAGAATCTATCTTTTTCTCTGAACGATTTTTTTTCTTTCCTTTTCGTTCTTTTCTCTTTCTCATTCTGAATCACCAGCATATATATATATATATATATATGTTGGCGTCCAAACTCGGATTCCGTCCAATCTCGGATTGGACGTAAATTCATCAGGCCAATCTGAGATTCGCCTAGGCCAATCTGAGATTGGACGCTCAATTTTCAAGCGAATCTGAGATTGGACGGAATCCGAGTATGGACGCTGACATATATATATATGGATGACACTGTTCGTATATCTTTTGAACAGCTGATATAAGAAAAAAAAAATCTTATTGCTCTATTGTTGTTGATGATAATCATAGGCGGCGGAGCCACGAGGCCTGGGTAGGCACGAGCCTACCCTAGATTGGAGGAGGGTAGGCTTTGGTAGGCTCGAACCAGTACAGATAAAGGCTTGACTAGGCTCGATTTAATGTAAAATTTTTCTAATATTAGATAATTTTCATATTCTTCTGTCAGATGACTCGTTATTACAAGGTCAGTCCACATCTTATCTATTACAAACTCGTGCCCAGTGACATACTGATTGGTTTCGTTGACGTCTATATTTACGTCGAATTCTTTATTTTCAATATAAGATAATTTAACTTTTGTTCTAAACTTCTATTCAAAATAACTTTTGAATTTTAAGTAATTAAAGAACAGTGCTCTTCCATAGGCGGCGAAGCCATTAGGCCTGGGTAGGCTCAAGTTCACCCTAGGCTGGCTGAGGGTAAGCTTCAGTAGGCTCAGACTTGGACAGAGCAAGGCTTTGGTAGGATCTATTAAATGTAAAGGTTTTCTATTATTGTTTAGTTTTCAAGTTTTTCTGGCAGATGATACATCGTTATAGAGTCAGTGTCAGGGTGTGGGTGTGGGTGTGGGGTGAGTGTGGATGGGGGTGTGGGGTGGGTGTGGGTGTGGGTGGGTGGGGTGTGGGGTGTGGGGTGTGGGCGTGAGGTGTGGGTGGGGGTGGGGGTGGGGGTGGGAGTGGGTGTGTGTTCTAATCTTCTCTTCACCCACGCCTACACTCACCCCCACCCCCCCCCCCCCCCACCCCGCACACCCACACCGACACCCACACCCTTGACCGAACACTTGCTAAATGAAAGACTACTATAGGGTACAAAGTTATTATAGTTTAACTACATTCAAATTGAGCGTCAGGGTAAATGTATCTTTTTCTCATTCACACGCTCGATAAAACAAAAGAAGTTATCTATTACTATATCGAACAGTATAACGTGACAAATGCCAGGTCCCATATCTCTTTGATAGAAATGTGTTTTAACAAAATCAAAACAGTACTTTTCCTCTCCTGTCAAAGCATATATTTCTTTTTGTTATTATGCAGTCATAAAGAAAGCGACGCAATAGAGGAGAAAATCACCTTTAACAGAATCTGCATTATTCTATAGAATAGCTAGATAATAAAGAAGATTGGCGTAGATGGAAGTCAACACGAATGTACGTGAGAAGGTAATGGAGACTCAGAGCGACGCAAACATCGATTCTCACGATCTCACCCACATTTACGTTTATTTCTTTTATTGATCGTCACTTAATTACAATAAATCTTTGTTATTTTTTTTTTCTGCTTTTTTCTAAAAATTAATATTTAAATTATTTTTGTGATCCTTGTTTTTACTGGAAGACAAGTGTATGACTTTTGCTAGGTGAAAGTTGGTCGACACAACAAATTAATATTTGTGAAATATCACATGCGAAGACCATTGCATTGGCATCGTTACGGACGAAAATTCCGAGCGGCACAAAAAGAACTTTTGAACAAGAGTCAATTGAAACTAAATAGAACAAAATGTTCATTAACAATAAAAACAACCAAACTAATTTCAGCTATTCTCGTTCCAATAATGATTGGCGCGTTTACTGTTGTAACAACACTTCAAGAATCCAAACGTGTTCAATTGCAACGTGAGGCTGATATGACAAAACTTGAGCGACAAGCAGAATTACAACAAGAAGCTGAAAAACGACAAGGAGAAGTAGATGCTTTGAAAATAAAAGAACAACAAGAACACGAGAGCCAGTCTGCAAAAGAAATTCGAATGCAAAATATTTATGATACATTCATGAAAGAAATGTTACCAATCGTTCTCAAAGAAAACATTAATATTACAATACCAGAACTAGTGTTTGCCCGAGCTAAAACAACGTTAACATTGGACCAAATCGATCCAACACGAAAATGGTATTTAGTTAAATTTTTATATGACAATCATTTATTGTATGAAAACAAACCCGGTATGAGATATATAGACTTGGCAGATTCAGATTTATCGAACGTTAGATTTGGTGCAAACAAAAATCCTATTTTACGACTTGATCTACGTGGAATTCGGTTAACAAGAATTCAATTAAGAAATTCTTCATTTGGTAATGTTGTTTTGAATCAAGCGAATTTCGAATATAGTGATTTGAATAATTCAAATTTTATACATGTTGTTATATTGGGTGCCAATTTCAGACAAACGATATTAGAAAATTGCAAGTTTATTCTATCACAGTTTCAAAATACATCATTTAAAAAGTCACAATTAAAATTATCATCATGGACATCAATATCAACAACACACTTATTATCTTTTAACAATATTGATTATTCATATTGCGATTTAAGTGAAGCAATATTCCACCACTTAGTAATAACAACTAGCGTTAGACTTGATGAAGCAAATTTGGAACGTGTAACTTTTTCTGATATAAAATTGTCAACAGGAACTGTTTTCAAGGATTTAAATATGAAAATGTCAAAATTTATTGATGTTTCATTACTCGATGGAAAGTTTTTTCGATGCAATATGATGGGTGCAATATTTAAAAATCTTCGTTGGAAAAATGTTCTTTTTCATCATGTTGATCTTCAGCACACACAATTCGATGAAATGCATGGATCTGGAAATATTGAATTCATATATGTCAATTTAGTGGGTTCAAATTTGAATATTACTAATGATAAAATAAAACAGATAAAGGATTCATACCTACCTAATGGAACATTTAAAACATCATTTACAAAGTTTGGAATGAATTTAATAGAAAATAGTGATGCAGAACGTGGTCAATGTTATTATGGAAATCATAGTTCAACATCAGCTGCGCCTCATGGTTGGGTACGACAAGGTGATGTTTTTCAGATGTATTATAATGACATCAGTTCAGAAATTAATTTTACAAATTATACGAGTGATTTGCAGTCATGTTTTTTTTTCGCTGGTTATCAATATCCAAACCATAATTCAAAAGCAAATCTGCATCTAATTCGACAAGAAATCAATATTGAACCGTTAACTGTTTTAATTAATGCAAGACGAGCGAAATTTCTTGCTAGTGCCTATTTAGGTGGTTTTGAAAATGAACAAAGTTCGATAGCGATGCGTCTTCTATTCAGAACAGTAAAAAATGAAACAGAAGTGCAGACTGTGGGTTAGTAAAGATTATTATACTTTCTCATCTATTGATATCTGTTCTTTTTTAATGTAAATATTTTTCAGGCTCAGTAACAAGTCTCCTTCGAAAAAACAAAACAGCAATGATATTTCGTTCAACAAGTGGAATCATTCCAAATAATACAATATCAGTTTTTACCGAACTCAAATTTCAACGAGAAGGAGGTAGTCGCCCGACTAGATTTGGAATGGCTGATAATTTAAAATTTGTCATTCTACAAGAATAAGTGAACAGATTAGTAGACATTCTATGTGATATCGCATATAGTTTGTGCAATCAAAACGTACAAGATACGACATCTTCACATGTATTAATTAACTGAAAATTTTGTTCATTCATAACAATTCTGTGTACGAATGTAGGCGTCCCTGCGGGTGTGGGTGTGGATATGGGTTTGGGTGCGGGTGTGGGTGTGGGTGGTGTAGGTGTGAGTGTGGCCATGTGTAGAATAAATATCCATACCGACAACCACACCCACACTCACACCCACACCCACATCCACACCCACACCCATATCCGACACCCCACCCACACCCTACTCACACCCACCCACACCCACACCCACCCACACCCACACCCTCATTAGCCAAAATGGTAACGGTAATATCTTCATTAAATGTATCTTCACTCAGAGAGCCATCATAATATACAGTATATTTAATAGGATTTTGAGTACGATTAATAACAAAATAGGAATAAACATGAGGTGGTGCTCGCGACATTTTAAATAGAAGTTGTGAAACTTAATCGGATTTGCCATTGGATTTATTGTTTTCCTTCATAAACGGAGGTTTTATTCCAGTTTCTGTAGACATTTTTATTTCTTTAAAATAACCTGTGATATGAAATAAGATGTAAATCAGTGAAGAATAGAGTTTATATAACTCAAGAAATGATGATTGATCTACGAAGAATTACCTGTAATCATCTATTGAAAGAAGAAAAGAATGTCCTGAATGAACCTGGTCTAATATAACAGTCAATGATGAAATTGCATTCTGCGATTGTTTTATTCAGCGTCAAGCGGACATAATATATTTATCACGTAAGTACGTAATTTAAGATAAGAACTACATAAAAAAAAGGGACATGACAATGCAAGGCCATTGTTGAAAAAAAATGTATTGTGGAGACAAATATATGTTTTGTTGAAAGTAGACTGCTTCACTTTTATCAGTTTCTATTTTTCAATAGCAATAACAACCATAAACTAGTGAGTCATATCCATTAAAGCCTCATCAACTCTGTTTTACTGTTCATATTTGCCTTTCTCATATACGTATTATATATGCACTTATCATCATTAGAATACGTCCATATTTGAAATAGATTATCTTCTTAGCATATGTGAATTAATGGTGTGGGTGTGGG